TTACAACTGAGAGACATGCACACACTCAGACACACGCACACACACCTAAAACTTTCCCAGAATAAGACATTAGTCATTCGCCAATGAAAACCTATTATATCACCGCCAATCATCATTGCTCTTACTAAGACAGAACTCCATGCAAAGTACGAGGAGCATCAATCATGTGCAGGGCACCTATTCGCCTGTGAATTTTTTAATATATGTTTAATAGGCCTTAATGGGCAAATTTATAATGTATGCTTCATTTTTAGCTGTGGAAGACATACCTCAAATTTATCACTACTCTAAAGCTTGTATTTATTTTAACTTTTACTTTTTTATCTTTCTGACTTCTGACTAACACATAGATGCAAACACACACACCAGGTTGAGAGAAAAATAAACTAAAGTTCAGCTATCTTTTTACGATCTTCTTGCCCAGTGGTGCACGATCTGCCACTAGGGGGTGTACGAGATAAAAAAAATTGTGATAGCGGTTTGAATTTTTTTTAAGAAGGTTTTTTTTTCACACAATAAAGACATAAATTTACACTATAAATAAATACAATCAAAAGCTGACATTGTATTTAATAAAGAAACCCTGGTTGGGAAATGGAAGGAGGTGTGTGGCCAAAAAAGCTTGGAAACCACTGCCTTACACACACAGATGTGATATCTTGGGTCATTAACTCACAGCTGTTTTGTGAAGTGAGACTAAGTCTTGATTGTTGCCCAGGGGACTATAATGATTGTTACTATCAGTGCAAAAAAGGTCAGATTTCTGACATGACATGTCAACACCAGTGGACATACCAAACGACAAACAATCTGCAAAATATTCTGAATAAACATATTGCCACTGAACCACACAGTCCTCTGAGATTTGCATAGATTATCTGTATTGTTCCCTTGAGATTAAAAATGAGCAGCCAGTGGAAATGATACAAAACACTATGTTTATAATGAATACACAACCATGCACTAACAATTAAATCTATGTTTACTTTTCCACTCCACAGGATATTATTCCTTTTTTTTTAAATCACAGTAGATGGTATCATTTTGCTCAATGGTGTTTTAATATATTTTCACAAAGGAGGAATAAATGAAGAGAAGCAGGAAGTGTAATACATCTGGGAGGTCAGTATCAGATAGAGGCTGCCTTTATACCTGCAGTGTTATGTGATTATTCTGGGCCATATTAAAACGACACTATATCTTTGCACAGGTTCTCTTTGTCTTGTTGGGATATTAGCACCATGCCTCGCGGACCTGAAGCTACTTTGGAAAACAGATTATAGGTGCTGGGTGAAAAACGTCTTGGCAGACAAGTAGTCCAAAAATGGTGAACCAAAAGAACACGCAGCGATAAGGAGTCGAAATACCCCTCCAAAATGATATGGACTACAATGTAATACTGTTTGTTAAATGGTGAAGCTAAATTGTGATTCATATGAAATTAATTTTAGAAATTTCCAGATCACTGTTTCAAGGTCTTTTACACAGAAGTGAACGTATCTGCAGTAATCCATCTTGATGATGCCAAAGTTCAACAGTCAACCACGATAATTTAATCCTGCAGGTTTGATTGTCTGAAACATCGTCTGTGTGTGTATTTAATACAAGGTCTCCAAAACTGATGAACATTTGAGAGAGACTTGACTTCACTACTTAACGACTGTTTAACGCACAACTATAGTACTGTTCTGATCTTTCAACATATTACAATCCCTCAACCAATATTGTTTACATATACCAGGCATGTACATACAGCTACACTTCAAACTGTTTGTATTTTTTTTTCTATGTACACTACTGCTAATTTTAGTCTCTTTATTTTCCTTGCAGATCACTTTGATATTTGATATTTGTATCACCTTGTAAATACTATGTCTACCCTGATGTTACTTTTTTATCACCTTGTAAATACTATGTCTACCCTGTTGTTACTTTTACTTTTAGTACTACATGTCTATCCTACTGCTGTAACAAGTGAATTTCCCCAGTGTGGGATGAAAAAAGTCTTATCTTATTTTAGACCAGGCAAAAAAAAAATACATCAACCTGGTGTGAAAGACATCTCCCAGAATGGAGAATAAGAAGAAGAACAAGGAGGGGAAGAAGAAAAAGAAGAAGAAGATCTCCATCCTGAGTGTTCTATTATTATAACTTTTATGCTTTCGTGTGCGACAGAGTCTTCATGTTCCATTAGAACACAGCAAAGAGATTATCCTGGGATTCAGTGAAGGTTATCAATGTCAACATGACATAAGCCGTATACGCCATGGGCCTAAAAAACTGCAGGTAAATTCAAGCTAAAGTTGTGAGCAGGTCAATATGGAAGTAACCTGGTCTGTGAGTGTCTTCCATTTGACCCAATGTCCCACAGAGCACAGTGTGCCAACAATGATTAGAAAAATAAAAGGGAAGAGAAACAAGAAGAGAACTGCTGCTCAAAGTGAGTGCTTTTGTGTGTGTGAAGGTGTGTGTGCGTCCTTCTCGCAGTATCTGATGTGTTTTGTTTTTTTTCTGAGCAAACAAGAACTGTGGGGAATTAATCGAACAGAAGGAACACCAACTTCTATCACAGCTGTTCTTTACTCAAATGCGTGAGACGGAAAATGTTAAACAATGTAAAACCCACTAAGGTAAAGTCGGTTTTGTACCACTAAAAATACTTTCACTTGTTGAAACTGATGTATTTTTGAGGTTGTCCAGCAGTGCATTAACAATAATATGACACTCTGGCATCTGGACCAGAATTTTTAGTAGTTTCAAGTCTAATAAGTAACGCTCAGATATGTTGTTAGGAGAAAACACCTGTTTTGTTCTATCGACACTTCGATTATGTAATTATTTAAAAAAAAAACTGACTTAAGAATTACTCAAGAAATAACTGCTGTGATTAAATCACTATGGTATATAAAGGCTTATTATATTTGTTGGTTTGCAAATATCTCAGTGTGTGACAGCCATGATAAATATTTATACTTTCTGGTGCCACCATCTGAAAGATTGGTCACTTCAGTGGCAGAGTGGGGATTTAATTTTTTGCTGCCACCATACAACACAATACATGATGGAAAACATCAAAATATCCCTGACTTACTGACCCCACATACAATGGATGTGACAATCACCATACCATGAATCACTTTTGTACATTTTTGCCTGAAGTGAGTGTAATTTAAGGTGAAGCTATTATACATTATACATGTCTGTTTTAATGCTCAAAGCTGCACCACTGAAGTGAACTGCACACCCTGTCACTGTAAATGACCGCTCTGGGCTGTAATTCATGTGTGAGTGTGTTACAGTATACAGCCAGGACCATGTTCACCGGAATTGAATAATTTTTTTCTTTTGTTTCATTCCATTTCATGAATAATTTTTTTTCTTTTGTTTCATTCCATTTCATTCCTATATATGCCAATAGGGAAGGTGACAGCTGACATTTACTCAGCTTTTATGACTTATTTTCACCCAAGGAGAAAATGCATTAAGGAATGTTACGCTAAGTAGAGTAAAAAGACACATAGGGTACAGCCTAATCCCATGTACCGCTGTAGGTCGAGGACGTTGTAAACCGAGGATCCTTTGTTATTTGTATGGGTTTTGAATAAATACTTTTTCTACTGAATATACACATCAGAGTTTTCCAGTCTTGTCTATGGCTGCTTTTCTACATAAACAACTCTTCTGTCCTTGGAAAGAAAGTTTGGCCTTTTCCCTAATCCATGTCCTTGGAAAGAAAGTTTGGCCTTTTCAACTCTTCTGTCCTTGAAAAGAAAGTTTGGCCTTTTTTTTTTTTTTAAGATCTGTTTGTTCCATGTAATTGCACGTGTTTTAGCAACGTGTTGGCATTTCAAAAACAACACTATCATGCATGTGCTAGTGACCTTTTCTGTTCTAATAGGTAACACAACCTTTCTCTAAAAAACAAACTGTGCAGTCTAAGGACATTTACAGTAAGCACAATATGCTACAAGTTCTGTATTCCTGTTTCATGTACTGCAAAGGTCTGCAAAAATTAACTCAATCTAAAAAGATTCTTTAAGGAGGATTTTTTGTAGTTTTAAAATGATTACACAATTCCTCGCAACAGGGATGATTTTAAATATGAAGCAAACCCTCCCAGCATTTGACCGAGACAAGATCATTAATGCTCCAATTTTCAAATAGGCCATTGACACCTGGGCTTTTTTCACCTTAAACAAAAGTCTTTTTTTTCTCTCCTGCAGCTATTCCACACTGCTCACACCAGTTTCCGTCCTCCTGTGCTGTAAGGTTTGAAGTCCCTTTTTCAGATCTTAGTGCTGACTTTAAAGCACAGTGTGGTTTAGCTCCAGGCTGCATTAGTGACCTTTTTACTTCTTTTGAATGAAAGCCAACCTTAATATCCTGACAGAAAACTCCACTGCCTGTTTCATACTAGACTGACAGTTACCAGAGTCTAAGTATTCAACACAAATGTGAATGGTTTCTGTCATCATCATTTAGCTGAGAATATCAGTGATATGAAAAGTTAATGTGACGATATTACATCTGCCAGAAGCCCAGAAATTAAAAAAAAAAGGCTGAAAGTGAAACTGCTGCTAAGATGCACAAAATCAACCCCATGAAAGTGGGCCTAAAAATCTCTAAACTCTGAATGCTGATTGTTCTTCCTGGTTTTAATATCACTTTGAAATATATTATAACATTTGCAAATTCTACAGGGAAATATCGCGCAGAGCTTTTGTAGCACAAACAACATCTATGTTTATTTAAAACATTGTAATTTCTAAAAATGTTATTCTCATGGGAAAAAATGAAATGAAATATTAAAGAAATAAAATGTATTTGATCCCCTGTTCCCCCCACTCAATAATAAAAAAAAATATAAAAAATAATATGAATATTTTCTGCAGAAAATAAATTAGTTTTGACTA